GTGTTTATTTGTGTTATGATTTTACTGCTTTCAATTAATTGGTCACTAATTGAATGATTTGATGCTAGTCAATTCTGACACTCGAGAGAGGGAGTTTAGGTGTGATCATAAGAATAACACAACATCGGAAACTATTGGTTTCGAGAGAAAGTATAATTCCTTTGAAACATGTTCCATTTAAGAATCACAAACTTGATAAATTCTCTATTTTACTTCGGAATAGAGATATTGGAATTGAAATATAGGAATAGTTTTTACTCGACACTCGAGAGAGGGAGTAAAATTACGTTAATATTCTTGCTTATAAACTTTGAAGAAATGATTAGAGATAATTATATAATTGAAAATCACATTTGATAGTTAGGTGAAATCATTACCCTGGGCTTTCTCACTTGATTATTCTTCTAACTTGCGCTTATTTATTGAATATGTCATCATAATAGTTTTAAAACATTGATTATAACATTTATTCATCTAGATAAAATAGAGGCTATATAATGATAGTACTTAATAGAAATTTGAATTACAATCCATGTGGGTTCGATACTCTTACTCCATTATTATATTACAAAATTTGACACTGTACACTTGCGATATAAATCACGTTATAGAAAACGCGTGACAAGTTTTTTCGGCCGTTGGCAGGGATTATTATATTTGATTTTTCCTAATATTACTACCAACTAGCATTTGTTTTAATTTAGATTTTCTTTGATTTTGTTGACATTGACCTCCGAGGATTAAGGTCGGATCAATCCACGTCATGTGTAGTTAATATGTTGAGATCGGGAGTAACAGGACCCGACCTCCGAGGTAATTAAGGTAGGATCGGTCTTTGTCATAAGTAGATAACATGTCAGCTCGGATAAAAGAGGTCAGGTCGGATATAGATGCCTTCTGGAGGAAGCTTGTGTAATCTCCCAAGGGATAAGATATTGTAATGATGAAGAATCTCTGAAAGGACATACAAGCAACCAATCATGGAGATGCACCTGGAAAGGTCTTACATCATTACCCCCATAATCCTCCAATAAAAAAAAGTGTTAGCTGCCTCCTCTAAGTAACGCACTAATCACTGGGGGCCACCTACCATTAATATTTTGAAGAGCTCAGACAAGATCCAGTTCGGACACCAATCCCGGCGNTCTTACAAAAACTTGCATATCCCATTAAGAATTTGGTATATCTTCCCCCTGGTTGGCTTAAATCTTGTTCATACGATTTTTAACGTCAATAGTTTGGTGCTAGAAGGAGGGCCGCTTAGGAAAACAGCTTCATCTCTCCACAAAAAAAAAAAAAAAACTATAAAACAGCATAATGGACTAATTTTCAACATCTGGAAATCGATCCCACACTCACCCCAAACAAACTAGCCACCTCCCTGAGAATATTGAAAAACGAGATCGTGATGAGGCTATTACCCCTCAAATGGTGGCTATGAGGGAATCTATCGAAAAAATGGCAAATGTTTTCAATCGACTGGTGTAGAAACAAGCTCAAAATCCACCAAGAAATGATGAAGTAGAATCCCACCAACAAGGGAGGAGTAGATGGCTCCCCACGAAAAGAACTCTCCAGTTCTCTAGTGGAGAATCTTCTAAAGAACGAACTGAAGAAGTCAGGAGTTCTCCCGCCACAACAAAGCCAACAGTCAGGAAAACAAACAGTGTATTCAACAGGCTAGGTTCTCAGCATTCACAAACACCCTCGGATAGACACGATAAGTCGCGCCAGGCGGAGCAAGCCGAACCAGAAATGAACGCCCTCAGGAAACGTATAGCTGACTTTCAAGCCAAAAATAAAGGAAGTACGGAGGAATACTTTACCAAACGCCACTCCCCCTTCACAGAGGATATTCTGGCGGAGCCATTACCCGAAAAGTTAAAAATGCCCCAAGTAACCGGATGTGACGGGGAATGAGACCCCCTCAGTCACTTGGACAAATATGCCTCCTGGATGGAACTGCAAGGAGCTGGCAACGCTATATTGTGCCGTGCCTTTCCCTTAACTCTGGGAGACAAAGCCCAGAGGTGGTTTAGGAAACTGCACCAGAGGTCCATAAAAAGTTGGGACGACCTCGCCACGGCATTCTTAGCTCAGTTTATGGGCTCAAAGGTAAGGACCACACCTAAGGAGAGACTGGTAAGTATAAAGCAGGGAAAAACTGAATCACTCAAGAGCTACTTGAACAGGTTCAATAAGCAATCCATGGAGGTAGAAAAAATCTTCGACGGCGCCGCGCTTATGGCAGTCCTCTCGGGATTAAGACCAAAAACGAGGTTTTGGTGGTCTGTACACGAGGACGGACCCCGGACTTACCATGAACTTCTAGGACGAGCTGAGAAATACATAGGCGCGGAGGAAGCCACATCAGATCAAGAGGATGCCAAGCCACTCCCGCGGTCTCCACCGCGAGCTAAGACGAAACAAACAGACAAGGAACTAGGTCGAGAAAAAAGGAGGGACAGAAGGGACCAAGGCCGCTCCAGGCCATATCCCGATAAATTTCACGAATACCATCTTTTGAATGCGACCCTAGAAGAGGGCTTCCTTCAAGGAGAAGAGAAAGGGGCCTTTCGCCGACCTCCACCTTTGAGAAAAGAACCTGTTGGGAGGAACCAGGGGAAATACTGCCATTACCACAGGACTACGGGGCACGACACAGGAAACTGCAGAAACCTAAAAGAAGAGGTGGAGTCCCTCATCCGACGAGGTCATTTACAAGAGTTTGTGGCAAAACCTCAAGAAACGGCGTCGATCGAGATCCCACATCCTAACCAACAGAGGGTAACCCTTCCAGCTCGGCCAGGGCCTCAAACGCATGACGTCCAGCACCGAACTGAGATCAAGACACTGATAAGTGGGAATCAATACCTGATAGGGTCTAGAAGAGCTCGACGACGGATGGCGCGGAATGCTCGCGTATGGCAGAACTACAGTGTAGCACCCTTGGAACTGGAATGTAACACCCTATCGGACCCGGAGTGGTTCGGATTTTCTGAAAGAGATGAGCAAGGGATCCTGCAAGATCAAAGTGATGCGCTAGTTGTTACCGTGATAGTCGCTGGGGTACAAATACATCGAACTTTAGTAGACAATAGAAGCTCGGTAAATGTATTATACTCTCGAACTTTGGAGCAAATGGGAATACAGGAACATTACCTACAACCTTACCCCAGAAGGTTGCAGGGGTTCTCCGGAGACCCCATCGATGCACGAGGTCAAATAGTTCTTAGCGTGGAGTTGGGCGACCCTCCCTGTCAAAGACGAATCCTGGCGGATTTCGTCATCGTAGACCTGCCTACTAACTATAACGCCATACTAGGAAGGCCCATATTGCATGAGTTGCAAGCAGCCACCTCGATATATCATTATTGCCTCAAGTTCCTGACATCAAGCGGCCCAGGGGTGATACGTGAAAACTAGGCCGAAGCCAGGACCTGCAACGTCGACTTGCCTAACCCTCAGATCCGAATGTTAAAAGATCAACACATTCAGTAGCATGCAATTTCAAATACCAAAAAGCTAGTCATAGCTGATCTTACTAAGATTGGCATTAACGAGAAACACCGCAGAAAGGCCAACGACGACTTGCTCATGTTCGAAGAAAAAGAGGCATGTCATGACCTCAATCCTGGAATGCTGGTGGTCCCGGTACTCATATCCAAAGTTAGCATTCCTAAAGCTTTGGTGGATACGGGGAGCTTACTCAACATACTTTATACCGACACCTTAGGACGGATCGGAGCTCCACTCAGCGCCCTGCAACCCGACCCTAGTATGATTATGGGGATTGACGGCGTGCTCTCTAGGACAGAGGGGGTGATCGAGCTCCCAATTGAGTTCGAGGAACCACCTCGCCGAACTAAGCTAGAGGCG